TGAATCGAATTACGAAATTGAGTAAAGAAAAAATCCTTTTAGTCGCCTTTTACGACAAGCAGGATACACTTTGGTCGTATTCTTTAGAACCCCGAACCAAAGGGTTTAAATATTAAACAATATTAATTCGTGCACTAAATAGTAAACGAAATTTTCAAAAAAAAAAAGAAAATGGCGCATCATCTTGTTTAATGAGAATTTTAATGCAACCATAGTTACATTTATTATTAGATGCAATACTTTTTATGAATTAGAAAAAAAATAGATTGAAGTTTTGATGAAATTAATGAAAGTGGCGCAATCTTTGATTCAGGGTCGAAAAATAGAGTTCTGTAATGATGTTAGAGGAAACTGTCTTAAGAAGATGAACGGGTTGCATATGATAACATTGTCAGTTGATGAAATGTAATTAGAGATTGATTAAAAGTGTTAATGATTGCTAATTGTGTTATTGATAATTTAAGTAATAATTGGTTTTAAATTAAAATATTGATATTTTGTAGGTATAGATGGCGCGCGTTGTAGGGAAAATGTAATATTCGTTGTCGTTAGGATCGCTGCGAACGTATCGCGTTTTCTCTTTTCCTCTCTGCAACGAAATCTGTTCGTCTCCTTTTTTCAATCGACAGGCAGACAGGTAACAAGCAAGCAACCCATCTAGCAGACCGTATGGCAGTTCGTGAGCAGCTGCCATTTGGGACACAGGAGGGTTAGAGTTTCGCAGTATTATTTTTGTTTCCTTTTTTCGTTTCGCTCCGAAGGGGGAGAAGAACAGATTGAAAGTGTTTTTACCCTGAAACGTAAATCTGTGTGTGTGTGTGTGCGATTTCGAGAGAAAAACAGATAGAAAATAATAGAACACGGAGGACAGCCAGCACAGAGAGACAACAACAGACAGTGGTGTTGTTTGTGGTGCGTGATCCCGTTTTTCATGTCGTTTTTGGGGGATTTTCTTCGTGCATAGTTTGAAGCCATGCTGTGTCATGGACAGAGGTGCATGTGAGGAAAAACGGACGTTCGTTGCTCGGTGCATCATCGCTTTTTAACTGTTTCCATTCGTGTGATTGTGAGTGTGTGTCGAAAATTTCACCAAACTGTTGCATAAAATGAAAGCTGCCGCTGCCTTCACTTGAGGCGGATTGGAAGAGGAGAATCCGTCAATTTTTGCGGCCGACGAAGAAGAAAGAAGAATAGACAACAAAAGAGGGAGAGAGAGAGAGAGAGATAGGAGAAAATATGGACTCGATCAGGAAGTGGTTCTACAAACCAAAGGTAATTTTAACTAGGAGAAGAAAAATGTTTTGTTTTTTGTTTGTTTGTTTCTCGCCTGCGTCGATTTGCAAAGACGAAACACAAGAAAAACGTTTAACGCGAAGTACATAACAACCAGCACAAACAATAGAAGCGATCGTTGTTTTCTCCTTTTGTTTTTGCGATGAGTCAAATGCAATAGTTGAGTCACACGCGCGCATTCGGAAAAACGTGCGTTTAGGTCACCAAAATTGATAATAGACGAAGACAAGGGAAGCCATGAAAGTCTTTTGTTTTTGTTGTGTAGATGACGTTTACGTAAACAAATATTTGTCCTTTTTTTTATTTTTTTTGGGTATAAACGTTGTTTATCAATGCATGTGCTGTACGTTTGTAATGAGTCTACAGAATAAGATAGATAAGATAATGGTAGTTGCGGTGTGTGGAAGAGAGATGGGGGGAGAGGGAGAGAGAGTTGTTGTTGTTATCAGTGTATCGATGGATTTCGAAAAACGCTAAAAATGAGAACGTTATCGGTGGAGGAGGAGGAGGAGGAGCAGGGTCAACCGCAATTACACGTAACCATAACAACGGTTGCAAGCTTTTGTTCGTGGACGACGGCCGCCGCAGCAATCTCGGATCTAACGAGAAGCCACAAATTGTGGATTGTGCAAAAAGCAAATACGAAAAAAACATTTAAAGTTTAACAATAATTTAAGTATTTACTAAACACACAGTTCGATTCGTGACCTTCCACCTTTCCATATAGACAGCAGCAGCAGCGGCGGTCGTGTTTTCAAAACACATCTCGCATATATATACTTTTCACGATTATCATTTATTTCGCACGTTTTGTTTTTCAACACGACAAAAGTTCATTTGTTTGTCATTGCGCTTGGAATTTTTTTTACCTTGAAGTTCGCTCACTTTGTCATTCGACTTGGTACATAAGCACACGTACAGTTTAGCTAGTTATGAGTGTACGAGTTTGTTGTTGAGTGGTTGTTGTTGTTGTTGTTGTTTTAGTTACAGTACGGTTACGGACTTTTTCGAAACGCAGCGAACGATGCAGAACGCATAGGAGACTTGCTCTAATTCGGACGAAATTCAGATAATGGAAATCACGAGACAAGTTTCTGGGTTGTCCTTGAAAAATCGAGTACATTTAAATGGAGAGTTTCAATGTCCACTTTATAGGGAAGGAGGAACTGTTTTAATAGATGATAAGTGGATTAGCGCGCAATTAAACACGGACAAAAGAAAATATGATGTTGATGTCCGCATTAAATCTCAATTAAGAACAAATATAATTCGTGTTACTATAAATTAGACTTAGAAAAAGTTTGATTAATTCTAAGTGAAATTGGAAATGTATTGGGTTGGGGGAAAATGCATCATTATCGATCTGCAATTGAATGTAATGTGGAAAACAACTATAAATGTTCGATGATTTAAAGAGTCGAACCAAGTGGCAAACAACTCGCATAAACAAGTCTTTCCCAATTGCAAAATGATTCGAATATTATATCGACTTAACGATAAACAGACAACACAATTTTAAATTGTCATTGTGTGTTTATCAGATAATGTGACGATTTAGGCTAAAACCACTGCTATTACTAATACTAATAACGATGAAGGTTTCGAATTCTAAGTAAAACTATCTATCTGTGTAAACTCTCAAGTCTAGCGCGAAGCGCGTACGGATTTATTTATAAATTTCGCTTTCTCTTTACGTTTTTTTTTCTGTCTCTGTCTCTATTCCAAGTGTACTTGTAAAATTCGAAAAATCGCCGCGATTACGAATTAAAATAATAAATTGTACGCCGTGATTTCTCTCCGCTCTCCGCCAAGATTACTTATTTATTTACCTTAGGTGTGTTTGAGTTTCGGAAACGCTCGCAGTAAACAGACAACGTGAAGCAAGCAGGCAAGTGTGGTATGCTTAGACCACGAAATCGAGGTCAAGTCGGCATGGAAAACAGAAGGAAAAACAACAACGACGGACAATGCAAGAGCAGAGTGTGGAAGAGTGAGAGAGAGAGAGATGTGGTGTAAAGAGGAGAGAGCGCGACGATTTTAGTTTGAATTATGCATGCGTTGCGCGAAAAGTGAGGACGGATTTTCTCGAAGAGTAGTTTGTGACAAATATGCGATACGATATTTTGGATGTAAACACCCACATCCAACGCGTTCACTTGTTTATGTTTACGTTCCTTTATTATTTTTTTTTTGGGACTCGCGCCAACTACGTTAGGATTTCGAATTGCTTTGTTTATTTTGCTTTTGGCCAGTCTGTATGTCTGTCTGTGTACTTGTATGAATCGGCGAATCCATACGGTCTGGCGTTTTTTTTTGTTGTTGCTGCTGCTGTTGTTTTATTTTAGGAGTTGAACTGTTTGCGAAAAGAGCGTAGGTGTAGTAGTTTTGTTGTTTTTAAATGCAAATAAACGTAAATAATTATTGAATGAAATCGCGCGATTTGTTTTTTATGTAATGTATATGTAATGAACACTAGAGGATAATTGAGTAAATTGAAATTGAAGTGCAGAAATTAATTAAGTTTTGAATATAATCGCGCCGGAAGTTTTTAGATTGTTGTTGCGAAAAACGTGTCTCGAGTAGAGGTGTTGAGTAAGGTAGTAAAGTGTTGCTGAGTGCAATCGTTTTTTAGAAATGAGTGGTAAAGTTGATGTTGATGATGTCGATAAACTATATATAAATATGATTGCGTGTTTCATGTTTAATTAATGTTTTTGTGTGTTTGTTGGATATAGAAAGATGACAAGTCTCTATTGGCGCAATTCTTTTTCGCCGATGAGGCGCTCAACTTGATCGCAGGAGAGTTGGACAGTTTCGACGGCCGCAAAGACCCGGAGCGATGCACGACGTTGGTGAATCAGCTGCGACAGTCACAGGACAAGGTGCTGACCATCACGAACGCGATCATGGACGTGCTGATCGGCGACGAACGGGCCAATCGTGACTTTCGGGTCAAGTTCCCTGAAGACGTGCTGCAGGAGAACCTGGCCGGACAGCTCTGGTTCGGCGCCGAGGTTAGTATATACATATACCAATCTCTGAAACATAATAATAATTATGGTTTTTTTTTGTAAATAGTGTTTGGCGGCGGGTTCATCGATATTGAACCACGACGCGGAGAGCACGACGATGCGACCGATAGCCAAAGCTCTGACGAAGAGTCTGGACAACGTACGCGGTCTGCTGCGGGAAGCCTCGTTGAAGTACAACACACCGAACGGGCCGATCAAACTGGACAGCAACGAGCTGGTCACCGAGATGCTGCTGGAGAGCCTGAAGATATTCGACAGACTGTTCGCAGAGTTCGAGCTGTTGTACGTGAGCGTGATGGTACCGGTGAAGACGACGCAGGAGTACGAGCTGCAGGAACTCATCGGCGTGCTGTTCTCGGAGACGCTGCAGCGAGCGCTCAAGATGGGGCTGCTCACGCAGGAGACGGTCGACGATTGCGATCCGGCCTTGATGTTCACCATACCCAGGCTTGCTATAGTCAGCGGGCTGCTGGTCTTCCCCAACGGCCCGCTGTGCATCGACAAACCGGTGGAGGAGATGAGCGAGATGTTCCGACCTTTCCGCACGCTGCTCCTCCGCATCCGCGAGCTCCTCTGGACGCTCAACAAGTGCGAACTCTATAATTTAGAGAAAATATTATGTGATAACGAGGAGACGACGTCCGGCGCCGGCGGCATGCGGCTGGACACGAGCGCCAAGATCAGCGAGGATTTCGTCGCGCGCTTCTACTCGAACTACCCGAACGCGACGATGGACAATCGGCAACAGTTGCCGCACAGTCAACATCATCATCAGCAGCTGCAGCAGCAGGATAACGTCGACGAGATAGAACAGATGTTCAGCGACTACGAGTCGGCGACGGCGACCAATCATCATCACCATGCGGCCTCAACCTCCGGGGGTTACTTCATTCCGAACACGGTGCAACACGATGCTATAGTGGCCTCGATGGCCTCTTCGAAAGATGCCGTCGAGAGGCCAGACTCTTTGCCCGATCACGACTCGCTGCAGGTGATAAGCGACGCCGCCGCCACCCTCTCCACCATCCTTAACACCAAAGAAACCAGAGTCGGCGGCAAGCCAGAGTCTCCGGATGACTCGGGCATCTGCACCGAAAACACCAGCCTGGATCGATCGCCCAGTTTGGAGATGAACCGATGCGAATGCCCGTCCACCAGCAAGGACGCCAAGCGTATGAGGAAGATGAAGCAGCTGCAGCAACAGTGCGAGGAGGATTCCTCGAGTTTAGGCAGTACCGACACGACCTCCTCGTTCAACAGCACGTGCGCCGACGACGAGGAGATCGCGATGGCTCTGCAGGCGGCGGAGTACGCGAACCGTAACGAGGTCAGGGCGAAATTCAGGTAATTATCATCATCATCATCTTCATCGCCGGATGATACTAATTGTTTTTCGTTTCACAGATCTAGCGCAGATCTGATTCATCGCCTGTACGTGTGCATAGCGGGCGTCGCCGATCAGCTGCAAACAAATTTCGCGAGCGACTTGCGGAACATTCTGAAGGCGGTGTTCTTGATGAACGCGTCTCCCGAACCGGTGGCCGCACCGGAGCCGGTGGTGCAGGAAGCCTCCATGGAATACCGTCCCGTCGAGAACGAGGTAATGGAGAACGAGTACTCGGTGGACCCGAACATTCTGGCACAGGAGGCCCTTTTCGACTCGAACGTGTACTTCCAGATCGACGAGGAGGAAGGACGCGAGGTGGAGGAGCAACTCGCCGGCGACATGCAGCAATACGCTAGCGTTAGGGAGGTCGTGCACGAGATCGAAGAGGAGTTGCCGCAACCGACGACCATGGAGCAGACGCCACAGAGTCCGCCCGTCTGGATACCGGACGTGGAGGCCCCGAAATGCATGAGCTGCATGGCCAACTTCACGGTGGTGAAGAGACGCCACCATTGTCGCCACTGCGGTAAAGTCTTTTGCGCCCGTTGCTCTGCCAACAGCGTTCCTCTGCCCAAATTCGGACACACCAAAGCCGTTCGCGTTTGCAACAAATGCTTTATGTACCACCTTGCGCCCTTCAAGATGTGAGTGATAGCTACTGCGCCCGAGTACTTACATATAGTTCACGCAACCTAAGCAAACAAACAAAAAAAAAAAGAATAAAATTATTTAATTTTCTATAACTATTCTATTATTATATCTATACATACATATATAAATATATATTGTTAAATTAAATCGATTCGGTACTTAAGAGGAAAAAAAAACCAAAATGAGGCTTCTTACCCATATATATTTTTCTTTCGAAAATGATGCTCACACTGAATGAACACAACAATTGCATTCTCACAAAGGCGAGAAAGAGGCAACAACCATTCCAAGAGTAAACTGAAACTTAACAAGAATGACACATGATTATTTGTTGACTAATATTTGAGATGTATATTTTTGTATAACAAAAGTCTTCTATATAATTTTTCGACGGACGAATTTATATATCGACGGATTGTGCGAACTAACAATGATGATATGATGACTTCCGAAGGAGGAAAAGAGAAGGAGTGAAAAATCATCACAAGGATTAGTTTAATTTAGACATGAATAATAATATGAAAAAGGAAAACTATGACGAAGCAATAAATAAACTTAAAAAAAAAAGAAAATATATATATGAAAATGCGAGACACCAAATGAAACATTTAGCGCAACATTTTTTCTATTTTCAAAGTTGATGCAAATTGAATGAAAGCAAACACTTTTATGATTCTCTTTGAATTGCTAAAACTATTTTTTTTTCTCTCTCAATCGAAATAGGTAAATATTATTTTTTCGTTAATTAAAATATTGTTTAGTTGAAAATTTTGAAATTCGAAAGCACGCGCGTTGATTAATTGAAATGGATAAATTAAAACAGAAAAAAAATAATAGTTTTATGCTTTATGAAAGTACAATAAAGAGGATAATGAAAGTTTAGAATGAGAGAAAGATGGCTTGTACGAAGAAAACGGTTTATACATGCATATTGTAATTTTTTTTTTAAACTAATATTTGTTGTATTTTATTACCTATTATTTTGTAATTTACTTTTGTTTTATTTTCGTTTCCAAGTACTGAATATTTTGTGATACATACTGTATATTTTTAAGGGTTCCGGGGATTCCAAATATCTCTAATCTATTGAAATAATAAAGATTACATTTTTAATTTGCTAGAGTTTTCCACGAAAACAAAAACCTACATTCTTGTTGGATGGGAAATGAATGGTTGGAGGATATAGGTTATATAAATATCTCATTCATAAGAGTTTCTTGGCCGAGTCTATTGAACAGCTAAGAATGGAATTTTATGAATAGAACATCTTTATAGGTCGATCCGTCGGCTCTTTTTTGTTTAAAACAAGTGCACCGCGTGAAGGTGAAGACCGACGATCTTGCATCTTATCAGAGGCTGCTGTGTTGCGCATGTAAAGATGCCTGATCTTAAAAGTGTTAAGACCTTTTGACACTCGGGAGTGTGACCATGTGGAAACCACAATTCTCGTCGCAAACGAGAATCGTGCAAGGCCGCACAACCCGGAATACAAAAGGATTTAGGAGGTTGGAGAAAAACATCATGACCTAGTGACAGCAATTGTGTAATAAACTAACTTAAAATTAATAATATCCTAAACTAAATCTAGAATCTATAATAGATTAATTTATATGGCGCAATAAACAATAACATAATTGCGTTAAAAGTGGTTAGCGCAAAAAAAATACAGGGAATCGTGTAAATTAATTCACGATTTAAATCTATGGTTTTGCTACATTCAAACGACCGAAGTCGTCAGATGAAAGCAGATGGAAATCTAACATGTATGGCAAATTGCACTTTACCATATCAATTAGCTTTCTCACAATTTAATAAAACACAAGAATTGTATGAAAAGAAAAGGTATGGTTTTTGCTGTGTATATTTAATAGTTTGGTCCACCTCCGAAGTGCCCGACCCAGCAGCAAGATCTGAACCTTCACAGCAAAAAGGAACAGATCGAGCGCAACAGTCCAGAGGTAGACTTTATCTGCTGAAAGAGAAACACGTGGGAATACGTTAGATCCCCACAGACATGGATTAGTACAACCGACGACAAATGGAAAATCACTCGAAATAATAAAGCAAACTCCAAAAAAACTGATATGGAGTGAGTGAATCGTGAGCCAAGCAAAAGCTCATTCGACCCATACTAAATGCCTAACCTTAACCAGGGGGAAATCAAGATGAAGTTAATAGTGAACTTCGCCCGAGCGAAGAGAATTCTAGAGTATTGAAATGACAAGTGGTTAGAGGAGGAAGGAAGGTGTTGGGACCGGCAGAGACCCTGTCAGAGTTAACTGACTAGTCTGCGGAATTACCGGCACCCCCATAATAGGCATAGCACCAGTTACGGGGGGACGCGCGGCGGACGGGCGGAGTGAAGGGAACCAATGCCAATCAAATACAAAAGATTTCTTTAATACAAATTGAAGCTACTTTTAATTATCAAAGATAAAGCAAATATATACGATTGAATTGAAAACAAGGAGGACTGCAAGAGAGTTGCAGGTGGATCGTGATAGTGTGCAACCATTTCACGATCCTAGGGATAATTTAAAACTAAAATGTAATAACCCTTGAGATAAGCTCTAAGGGGGAGAGTAAGGGTACTGAAACATCCTTTAATACAAATCTACAATCGTGCAAAGAGAGTCTACTATCAAATCTTGTTGAATGAAGACTGTTAAAAAGAAGAATTTCTTTCTGCACGACTTTCGAGTGATTTTCGGGCACGGTGGATACGTTAGATCCACCCCTGAAAGCAGAAACATATAAAGCTGACAAATACGTTAGATTTGCCACTAACTACTCATGCTTGTAAATCACGGGACGACACACAATAACCAAAGACTCGAAGAACTATAACCCTGTAGCAAAATAAAAATATGTTAATATAGCATAAATAATACCGATAGATAAATTTATTAAAAAGTAATAATATTATTTGATTTAATTAACTTTTTTGTAAGTATTTTTAATTGTTTTTTAATTGAAATTTAAAACAATTAATACAAATAACTATTATTCGTGTATAATTACAACTCAGAATATCCAAAATGAGCACTAAAATATAGAATCATTCGTTTGCGAGCTCGCATTCGTACATAACAACAATCTCTCATTCCTTTCACACTACAATGTGCTCAGGGGTGGCCCCCTTTTTAGAATTTCTGAATTTGAATTAAAAATTTAAAACTTATTGAAAACAATTAGTAAAAATTAAAAATACTTTCTTAAGATTAATTAATTCAAATGTAAATTAGTAACTGATATAACAATATGATTATTCCCTAACTAATTATTAAGAATAAAATATTTAAAATAAATAATATTGACGGAAAATTTTCAAATGAATCAAATGGTTATTGTATGCAACCCAAACTACATATCCAAGTGATATTCAGCAAAACGAAAAATACAAGGGGGAGAAAATAATTAAAAGCAATGAGATAATAACTATTTGAAACAACAAAATGATTTTAGTCGAAGGAGGGCATGCACAAAATGTGCTAATTGAAAGTGAATTTGGGGAGAACCAAGATTGAATTAAATTTACTATAAGGGAGGGTAATGTTCGCATGATTTAAAAATCACTCACTACTTATGTATCCATTTTCTTCTGTCCAAAATCGTTGGAAGTTCACAAGTTGGGCCTAAAACAATAATTAATTAGTAAAATATTAGTAAGAAAGAAAAATCAAATATGAATATTACCTTGAAGTTGCCGGTGGTCCGCCCCATAATAACATCTTTCCCTCATTCAGTCTCTAGGCCAACAGAGAACCTGCAATAAACAGAGAAAATTAGTATGGAAATCCAATTAGATATAAGTATTAATTAAGACTTACAGAATGCTGCGATGTTGGACTGCATCTGACCCATTAACACTCACTCACTCAATAACACTCGCGAAAACGAAACGATTAATGAAAGAAGGATAAAAATAATTCACTCGCGAATAATTAACACTCCCGTTTGTGATAAGCGAAACCGTGAGTTTAATTATTAATTAGGATGAAACGAGCAACAACTCCAAGTGGTATGAAGCATTGTCGTTTATTCAATATAAATAAATTCGCGGGATTTCGATATACGGAACACTTAACTGCCGGTTGATGAGCAGAGTGAAGCTAGAATTAAAACGTCTGGCAGGTAAAACCGTTCCTCCGGTTTGTTTGATCATAGCTTAAATTTGAAACATCGAAAGTGCTATACAAACCGGAGAATAAAACGGTTTAGCCGGAAGTTAAAACTTTGGCTTGAGACACCTGCCGCGGGATAAACGATTCGGGGCTGTCGATTATTAATTACCTGAAACATAAACGATTATTAATCCAACAGAAAATCATATAAAAAAAATATGAAAATTAAATTTAGAAAAATCCAAATACTGTACAAATATATGTGGCAATTCATTGAGAATTAAAGGATGTGTATTTATTATTATTATAAACATTTAAAAAATAATAATTGGAAAAAAAAAATTAATTAAATATAATAATTAAGTGCCGCACTCAATCTAATTGGATAGTAAATAAGATGCGCAAGTCGTCGGTTTTGAATCTGAATTGTTTTAATAAATTTGAAAAAAAAAATCAATCAAAGTCAATTTAATAGTGCCTAAAAAAAGGTTTATAAACATAATGAATGTAAATGCGCGGCAGTCGGTTTTGAATAAAATTCAATAAAATAATTAATTTAAAAATTGTCGCCAAATAAATAAAGCAAAGACTCACCTGTGTTTAATTAATCCGTAGTGTTAGGTAGATCCTCCACAAATCACAATTAATCCAATTTGCATTGTTGATTTCACTGCATGCGATTAACAACAACGGAGCGACGCGTACTAAACGACGGCAAGCGCGAGACTGGTGCGCGCATTGGTACGGCGCGCACAGTCGACTCATGCAGTGACGCGCGTACCGCTCAGCCAATCACAGAACGCCAAATATATAAATTACAATTATTTTACTAATAATAATTTAATATTCTGGAAAAAATATAGAGAGTTCGATTATAAATTCGAATAATTTTCTGTTATATTATTTGTTCGTTTATGCTCAGATCGTTAAAAATTAATATGAATAATTATTAAAAACACATCTACGAAATCCAAATATTTACATTGAGTTCAATAAATTTGAATTCTTAATTTGAAAAAAAATAAATTAATATCTTTGTTCCTTGTACAAACAAAATCTTATAGGACTCGTTATTTTCCTATAAGAAAAGTAAAACTAATTTAAAAAATGTGATACAAATCATGATAAAATTATAAATAAAATTAATTTGAAAATATACGAAGATTGAACATGATTATTAATGAGTGGTTATGAAAAGAGTAAATATGTTTGTAAAAAAAATAATTTAAAAAATTGTAAACAAAGACTAACTTGGTAAATGAAGTTGGCAGCAAATGTAGCGCAGTCCATATCTGCGGTTGGCATCGATGATCAGCGCCACCATCTCCAAAATCGTCGACGGAAGCGTCATGAACTAAAAAAAAAGTTTCCAATGGGAATTAACAAAAAAACAATAGGAATCTTATCTTAATGCACAATTAGTGGCAACTCGAGAAACGATTAATTAATGATTCAATGTTATTGAAAAGCGTCTTGGACTTAGCGTAAAATGTATAATTATATTGAATAAAGCCGCGCGCAGATCGCGTTTAAATTCGAATTATTTTAAGTAGAGTTTTTGCGACGGATGCGAAAATGTGTAGCAGGCAATGAATAGATATAATAACTCAGGACTCACCTGAGAAATTCCATGATTCCCGTGTAAATTCAGTGAAATCTGCAGTGTAGATACACGGGAGCAACACCGATACGACGCGTTCACTTTGAATTCGAATGTCGGACTGGCAGAGTCGACGATGCGCAGCAGATGCATCACGTGATCGATGAGCGTCCAATCAGAATCGTCCGTTTCGATCAGGTGATGATTAAGTCGCAGTCGTGGCCAATCACAGTCTCCCAAATTTGATCACGTGACGTATTTATAAAAAAATAATAAAAATATTAATAAAAACAAAGTCCTATTGAAATTACTTGGGTTGTCGCAGAAGTTGCCTACTTGCGTCTTCGCCATGGAAACGAAGGAAAGTTTGATCGGTTTATGGACGTCCAGAAAGTGGACGCATCTTTTATACAATTTTATTTATTGCGCTCAGGGTGTTTAATTTGCAAAACGAATCACGATGGACGACGCCGAGTTTGCTGAGGAATTGGAGGAGGATATGAACGCTGAAGATGAGTTGGATCCGAATAATCCGGATGATGCGTTTGCGATCGTCGAAAGAGATTACACCAAGGTTTTTGAAATGATTGAAGGAAATATAAATATATTAAGTGTAATTTGTTTTGTTTAGATTTGCGCCGAGTTGGAGGAGGATCAAGAGATGGTGCGATTCGCGGACGAATTCACCAAGCTCTTCGATTACATGTACAAGACTCGAGAGGATTACGTGCAGCTGCAGGATGCACACGCTCAGCTGGAGCTAGAGGCGTTGGATAATAGCGATCGTCTGCAGACCAGCATGAAAGTCATCAAGAACGATACGGCGACGATTAAAACGCTGAAGGAGGAGGTGGACAATTCGCACAAGCTGATTGATAACGCACACGCTAGAGAACAGGCCGCCCAGGAGATCATCGACAATTTGCGAAAGCAGATTGCGAATTTGAATGCGGAAATCGATTTCAAGAATAAGATGGCCCAGGGCGAGATGGAAGAGTAAAGGGATCGAATGTAATGGAATTGATGATGTATCATGTTTTTAATTAGGAATCCGCAGTTGACGAAGCACAGGGAGGGTTTGGAGAGGGAGAAAGCTAAGCTGATGTCGGAGGTGTCAAAGTTGAACGAAAAGTTGAACAACGCCCTGGCCTACCAGGATGAACTGGAGAGGCGCACCTCGCAAGCCGACTTGACTATTAACGAGATCAACGGGCAATTGGAGGTCGGATTGAATGAATGATGAATTGTGTGTGTGTTTAATTTTTTTGGTTTCGTAGGAAACTTCGGCGGAGGTGGATAGGTACAAGAGGCACAAGGAGCGTCTGGAGACGGAGCTGGAGGAGTCTCAGATGGAGTCGATGAACCGGCAGGAGGAGATAGACAGTCTGAACGATACGATCGTGACGAATCAGCGGTTGCTCGGAAAGTTCGAGTTGCACCTGAAGGAGCAGCAGGCGGCGTCTTTGAAGTGCTTCAAAGAGTTGGAGGGATGGAACGCCAAGTACAGCAAGATGCAGGACGAGTTGGACGCTCTCAACTACACTTACGAGTCGCTGAAGAAGGAGCACGCGAACACCGTGCACGATCTGAAGGCGAAAGACGAGGAGCGCAACCATCTCTCCATCGATCTCGCCAAATTGACGAAGAGCAAGGAGCAGGCGGACAACCGCACCAAGCACATGGAGAAGGAGAAGTACGATATCATCGAGGATCGCAACAAGCTGCGACAGGTCATCGCCGAAATGGAGATGGATTTGCAGGGACGCAAAAGGCAGGCGGATTCGGATAAGAGGAATATCGAGAATCTGAGCAGGGAAAAGGAAATCCTGAATAAGAATTTGATGCGGCAGCAAGGTACGCGGCGTAATACAATTAGATATTAAGTACGGTTGTTTCAAATAAACGAAATTAAAGCGGTCGGAAGGGATCACATCAAGCTGATCAAGGTGCAGGAGCAGGCGAAGAGGAAGCTCGAATCGGACATCGACAATCACGTGATCGAGACGCGAAAGCAGAACAAGCAGATCTCGTATTTGGAGAAGGAACGCGATCGATTGCTCGAGGAGGAGTTGGATCTGACGAAGAAGATCGAGGATACGCTGGACGAGGTGAAGCTGAAGAAGAACCAAATATACGAGCTGAAGAAGACGCAGGCGGAGAACGAGAACAAGCTGCGGATGCAGCAGAATATGTTCGACGCGGTACGCGCCGACAAGAACGCGCTGCAAAAGTCGCTGCAGGAGGCGAACGCCGAGGGGCACGAGCTCAAGAGTAAGCTGAAGACGAACATGCATCAGACCGAGCAGCTGAAGGAAGATATTTCGATGAAGGAGCAGCTGCTGATCAAAGAGGAGACGATCCTCAGGAAGATCACCAAGGAGAAGGAGAACATGAAGATCGAGCTGAACATTTGCTGGGATCAGATAAGGAGTTTGCGCGAGGAGATCGTGGAACGAAAGGACGAGGAGAAGCGTCTCCATAAAGTCATCGTGGTAAGTAAAACGTTGAAGCGGCGCTATTGGAATTCTGATTGTACATTTACGTGGTAGACAAGCGATAGGATGATTCGTGATCAAGGGAAAACCATAACGCAACTGATGAACGAACGGGACGTGCTGGGATCTCAACTGGTTCGCCGCAACGACGAGCTGTCGTTGCTGTACGAGAAAATCAAGATCCTGCAGACTACGCTGCACAGGGGCGAAGCGCAGTACGATCAGAGATTGCAGGATATAAAACTGCTGAAGGTCGAGATAAAGCGGTTGCGACAGGAGAAGAGTCTACTCACCAAGAGCATCAACAACATGACGGATCTGCAGCAGGAGGTGTTCCATCTGGAGAGGGATCTGACCAAGGAGCGGCTGAAGACCAAAGCGCTGGAGGACGAGCTGCAGAATCCCATGAACGTGCACAGGTGGAGGAAGCTGGAGGGCTCCGATCCGGAGGTCTTTGATTTGCTGCAAAAAATAACGCTGCTTCAAAAGTTTGTATAAAATATTCAACAGTTGTTTAGAAAAGTTTGAAAAAATGTAATAAAATTTAGGCGACTGTTGAATCAGTCGAGCCAAGCGGTCGAAAAGGAGACTCAGCTGAAGGAGGCCGAACAGCTGTACATGAATCTCAGGCAGGTGGTCAGCAAACAGCCGGGGCCCGAGATCAAGACGCAACTGATGAAGACGCAGCGATCTCTGAACTCGCACATCAACAAGATGAAAGTGAGTGTTTCGATATAGTAAATCGAATATAATCAGATGATATTTATATGCTGTTACCTGCAGTGCTTGGTGTCCGAATTGAATATGACGGAGGCGCAGGCCAACAGCTACAAATTGGATTTGGATAAGGTGTCCGACGAGCTGGTGGACACCAGGAAGAAGTTGGTGCAGGAACGGAAGCAGCACGCCAGAGAGCTGGAAGGGTTGCGTTCGAAAATAGGCAACCCAACGGACGCCGCCCAGCAGCAGCAGCAGCAGATGAAATTCGTTGGTGGTGGTTTTCGAGTTTCCCTGTCCTCCGGCGAGTACTAGTACTGTCGCCGTTCGATTTCGATTTCCTGTATTGACCAGAGCTACGAGTAAATAATTACCATCATCTCGCATATCGCATTTTCATTACCGGTGTTTGTGTATGTTCTCCTCCTCCTCCACCCCCTTCGCCGTCTGCTGCTATTCTTCTTCTTCTCCGTCACCGTCTTAACCTTCAACTTGTTGTTGTTATTATTTTTAAGGTTAAGATGTCGTCGAAGGTGCTGGAGGTTTGCGTGGACAGTTTCGAGTCGGCGATGGCCGCGATCCTCGGTGGTGCATCCAGGTTGGAGTTGTGCTCCTCTCTTTCGGAGGGCGGCCTGACGCCGACGCCCGGTCTCCTCATCCAGGTGCAGAACCAGAACGTCGACAAGGTCCCCGTCTACTGCATGATCCGCTGCAGACCCGGGAATTTCGTGTACACCCACGAGGAGATGGAGATCATGAAGGAGGACGCGAAGATCCTGAGGAAGCTCGGTGCGGACGGCATCGTGTTCGGGGCGCTCCTCGAGAACGGCGACGTCGACATGAAGAACTCCAGGGAGATCGTCAAAGCCGCCTTCCCGCTTCCGCTCACCTTCCACAGGGCCTTCGACTATTGCCGCAGACCGACCATCGAGATGGAGGTGATCATCGACCTCGGTTTCAGCCGCATCCTGACCAGCGGCAAACAGGTGAACGCTCAGATGGGCGTCAAACTGATCAAGAAGCTGATCGAGCAGGCGGAGAAACGCATCATAATCATGCCAGGCTGCGGCGTCACCGTGGAAACCCTCAAGTACATCATCGATAATACGGGGGCTGCAGAGTATCATGGATCGTTCAAGAAACCCAAACCCAGTACGATGGCTGAAGGTGAGACAGAGACGGAGGCGAAGCTCTGCGACAAGGAGGTGGAGCTGTTCGTGACCAGTCAGGATCTCGTCGCCGAGGCTGTCCACATCCTCTCACTCGACTGAAACAGTGAAGTATTATTGCTGGTACGATTGCAAGGGGGAATATGAAATATATTTTTGTGAGTGCCCTCCCTGCTGGAGCAGAGAATCATTTCTTTATATCTGTGTGAGGCAAGTTCGTGATGGAGACACTTTTCATTTACTTTCACAATTCCTACAATAACAAGAAGCACTGTACGAGTGCTTATGTACAACAAAACCCATCTTTTATTTATGTGTGATTACGTTTTTTTCATTTATTAATAAATTTTATTTTATTTTCAATTGTCTCCACGTCTCCATGTGAAACAACACTTTCACTTCCCAAACAAAAAAACAAAAACCTATCAAACATTCACCCCAAGTAAATATGTAAATATAGTCTTAAAAACGCACCAATTTCCACATAAAATCAAAAGAAACTTTACCCAACAAGGAAAACTTGCAATAAACAAACTCACCTGCAATTTTCACGTTGATTTCCACCAAGAAAAACCACACTTTTCACCAACGTAAATTTCCCAACAAAACGACGCCACAACAACAAACAACAATTTGTTTTTATTTCCGATCGTCAATTTGTTTTATTACCAACTAGAACAAAAAATTGATTGCGATTAAAGAAATTTGCGAACCAATCTCTAGTCATTAATCATAAAAGCTAATAATTAAACAAAATTTTTGATAACGAAAATTCAATTTCTTATTGGAAATAAAAAAATGTATATTTGAATGCAACTTGCGACACCTATTGTCGGCATTACGAAATAGTTTGTTATAATTTTGTTTTTTTTTTCTACATAAATTTCTTTTTCTTGGATCGATTCCAAATCTCTTTAGATATTCGATATAATCGCAACATTCGACGCATTTAAGGTGAGTGCTATCACAGATACTTTTTATAACCTAACAAATCACATTTTTCAATTGAAAATAATAATTTTCTTTGCAATATTCACTTCAATTCAATTTTAATTATAACTAAGTGGTTTTTAATTAATTTCTTCTTGTTTAATTAATTAATTAATTCAATATTTGATTATTTATTAACTTTATTTTTGTTAGGTTGTTTAAAATGGAGCGTTCCGATTGGGCGAGAGACGAGCGTCATTTGATAGCGCCTCTAGTGGAAAAGTGCCGTCGAAGCGTCATGACGCGTTCTTCTCCGAAGAAAATTCAAGAAGTAAACGGATTTTCCTGCTTTCCCCAGGCGAGTTTTAGTTTATTACAATATTTAATTGCGGCCACCGCTTTTCTCGTAGTCGATTTTCCTTTGTCGCTCGTTTAAATAGCAATTTAAAAAAAAAAACATTTTCCACCGTATGTGCAATAAATATACAATATCAACTTGAATACGTGCGAAACTTAGCATAAAACATTTTCCTTCTTGTGATTCAAGTAGATGTAATATCAACATTTCTATATTTAAGTGCACTTTACCTTAAATTCGAATTTTCTCTTAGTTTTAAATAATTGCGTCGCGTCACTGGTGGCGCTAATGTTACAAACTTTCATTCAGAAACAACTTGATCTTTTCAAAATTCATTCTAATTGGACTTAATTATGATTTGTTAACAATTGATTAATTATTTCAGGTCCATTGGTGGAAGTTTGAATAGGAAACTGTAAATGTAAGTTTTTTTTTTATTAACAATTTATATAAAATTTGTTAGTGTTGTATAAAAGAATGTAAAATGTTTGTGATTGTTTAATCCAATTTGGATTTGAATTGTTCATCATATTTGAACCAGTCTTTGTACTCGATGAGCTTATCCCTCCAGTAGGTGATGTGTTCTGAAAGTGGTCCATCTGTGCCCCCGTATTCCTCAGGCAAAACTTCCTTATCAATGACCTGATGCAGGGATTCCTGTCCCTTGAAATGCACCCGTACTCTGCCCTTGAGCTTCTCACTCATGAAACTCTTGAACACATTCAGCACCACATTGATGTATAGTGGAGCGTTCACAAACTCCAACTGCTTTGGCCTGCAATGGTAGTTCTGCCAGGCAAACACTGCTTTCTTAATGACCTTCGGTGGTAATTGTCTTGCATGTCCCAAGGAGACCCCAGTCATATCGAAGATGGCTGTTACACCGTAGATTTGAGCACTCTCCTGCTCCTTGGCGGCCACGTCCAGGATCATCTTACCAGCCTTGAAGACGTCGTCCTGCTTGTGCTTGCCTGGATCGTGAGCGGCAGTCTTTATTATCACCACCAATCTGTTCTCGTGCAGCTTCCTCATCGGCACGAAAACGCCGAGATTCACCAGCTCCTGGATCTCCTCCAATTCCGGATCCCTATTCGCGAACCACTGCGGCGTCTCCTGCCGCATCTTATAGTAATTCCTCAATTTGATTTTGGCGCGCTCCAGGTCGAACTTGCAGCCTCTCAGGAACGGCACGATCGCATCAGCATCCCGACATCCGTTTATCTCCGGATTTTCATCGTACCAAGACCTGATTTCAGCAACGAATCTAGTGCGCTTTTCCTCAGTCTCTTTCAGATTTTCCTCCGCGAATTTCCTCGCATCCTCGTCCAATTTCCACTCGTAATCCATGTTGGACGCAACCGTCGTTAATCACCATTGAACAATTAATCGCAGCAGTCGAAGGTCAAACGCATTTCGTTTGTTTTGGTTTGCGTCTCGTTATCGTAATATGCCCCCGCCGCCTCCGCGATCCTCTCTAAAACCCTTATCTCAGTCGCATTCAAATTTCAATGCAATCAACAAGTATTCACCAAACTCTCTGCGAGAAAAGAATTTTAGGCATTTTTCGCTTCGCCGACGCGTCGCAGGTTGTCTACAATAACCATCTTATCTTGATGAAATTCAAAATAAAAAATATAAACATAACCTGAGCGAATGTTATTCCTGTAAGAAATGTCCGAATCTAATGTGAATAAAATCTGTCTAGGTAAAGCGACGAGGAGAGGTGTCAAGAAGTGTCCGAACTGTGGCTTCACCAATGGCACCAGGGGATTCATGTGCAAGAACCCGATGTGCTGTAAGGTCTTCAAGGACTCGGACAAGAGGAAGGTGCACCTGGACTCTGTTAAGCTGGTCACTGGGACAGCCAGGCAAGTGTACTCGGTTAGGGTGAAAGACAAGGGTCCCGAGAATCGAGGCTTCGTCCAGTTGCCTGTTCAAGGCAACAAAGCAGCAGCTCTCTGCTTTGTTGAGTCTTGTCAGAGGCTCTTTGATAATTCCATTCTGAAATGCCACGAGGGCGAGGAACAAATCAACTCGACTTGCGTGCACATCGCGTCCGCCTTGAAGAGCTACGTGTCGGCAACGGTGCTGGATTTCAATCACAACTTGATCAGCAGTCTGGGAGTGGACGAGGATTGCAAGAAACGCCTCTGCCTGTTGGCGAAATCTTGCGATTTGGTCCAGAAGGTCTCGCAGAACGTGTTCGCGGTCAAATGCACGGTGACTGCTACGAATCCCCTGGGTTATTTGCATTTGATCTTCGGTGGAAACTCGGAGCAGGAGGCGAACGCGTTCAGCTGCGATTGCAACTCCAGGAGGAAGGGAATCAAGTGCGTCCACTACTATGCTTGCGTCGTAGCTTTTATCAGCGACTCGAAGTTTGCCACCAAGTACCAAAGTTTCATTCAAGCCGAATTCGGTAATACGTCTAATTGAATTGTCGATTTACTGTATTAACTTGATGTTTTACTTTGCAGAAACCGTTTTGGATTCGGGATACGAGTACAATTTGGTGAACGTGCTTGGGGATTTGAACAAGGAGGTGCTGCAGTTCGAGCTGCCTATTTACGAGCCTTTCCTGACCACCGTCGTCGAGGAGCAGAGTAAGCGGAAATCTGAAGAACTGTTGAAGCCGGCCAAGAGGAAGGTGAAAACTTGCTTCGACGAGCTTACGTTCATCGAGTGGCTTTCGTCGGCTGTGGAGCAGATCAACATGAGTCTAAGCTACGATTACCAGATGGAGGTTTGCCTCAAATTTAATATACATACGGTGAGTGTGATTATAAGTTTGAATGTACATGAATATTGATTTTATTTTGATCTTCAGAGGTTCTACGAGCTGCTGAAGGAGAGGATTACGACGAACGCGAAGTGCACGCACGGGACGGACTACGTGTTCAGGGAGGAGTTTCCCAGAGGGCGATGCATGGTTCAAAGTCTGCACATCTCCAAGCTGAGCGAGCTGAGGAACATCTTCGCGACGGATGCGATCAAGATGCGGACGTCGCGCAGCTTCGTGCTCGGCCCGAACGGCGGTTTCGTCGAGTTCCTAGCTTCGGGCGCGCCCAAATCTTTGGGTAAACGTATCGAACCCGCCCAGATCGTCACGCAATTGTCGGTCAACGAGAAGACGAACTTCACCATCCAATGGTACGGTACCTTGTACAAGGTGAGCCAATTCGGTGAGCTCCGATTCGTCTTCAGATGCGAACAGCGCGCCGCCACCAAATGCAGATAACCATCTCCGATTGTCCTTCGCTTCCTCCGTCAAGCGATATCAGAGCTCATCGAAAATGCATGGGCACAATGCATAAGGTATGAGCTCGATAATAATTGTATTAATATCTTAATGCGAATCAGATCGTCATCACGAAATGAATAGCGTCGCATTTGAAATAATATCGTGACTGTTGTGCAAGAGAATGATTTGAAGCTGGTGAAGTAGAAGGAAACAGAGACTGTGTGTGTATGTATGTACATTTGTGCAAACGTTAGATTCGAATAGGCTCGGTATGTTTTAGTGCGGGGAGAAAATATAGTTGGCGTTGAATCTGACGGCACCTGACTTCAAAATCCGCAGTGCGTAGAATTTTCGTTCGCGGCCGGCGAAGATGTGATCGCGTAATTGAGGAATTACTTTCATCGACGTCACAGAGGAGATATGCCTGCACTCTCGGTTGTCGAGCGGTGCGCCGGACCAATGATGAAGTAGAAAGGTTTTCACTTTCTAACGCACCGTCCGTCGCGTTCTCAGCAGCAGCAGCTTCATCACCACCACCACCACCACAAGGTACAACACACAGAAGCAGCAGATAGAGATCATCGGTGCAGCTAAAGAGGAGACCGAAGAATTCGTAAAGTATCTCTCCGTTTTTGTTTTGCAAAAGGAGTAGTAGCAGTAGTATTTGTTCGTTGTCGTCGTGGATGCGTCAGTGATTGGTTCCCATTGGTGACCATCGTCATCAAGGCAGCAGCCAGCAGAAGAGCCATGGACAGCGGCAGCAGCCGCAGCGCCATCAGCCTCAACAGCGAGCGGATCCAGAGGATGTTCAGCTGGAGCAGCAACGCGTTCAGGTGAGAAGCATCGAATTTAACATTACTTCCATATTTATATACTCGCTTCCTCCCCCTACCCAAACTACAAACTTAAGTCATATAACAAATGTACGAAAAAGAAAAGAAGTATAAGAACGCGCGCGCCGAAAATAGAAAGAAAGTGTCTTTCGATAGGCCGAAAAACTACGGATCTGAGGTAAAGCTTTTGCCGTCGGCTGGTTTTGCGAAATTTCTCTTCGCCGCGCGAAGAAAGAAAAGGAAAATTACGCGATGGCGCGTTTCCGTTTCGTTTGCGCCGCCGTCGCGATTTCTTCTTCCGCTTTGCACGCGTATTTTCCCCGATTACATTTCCATATGTAATTCAATTATTATTTTATTTCTTTAAATGGATGCAACGGACATTCAATTAATTTCGTTTTTGCAGAAAGAAGTATTTTTTACTTAAATTGGTCTTCACTTTAGTCATTAGAATGCTTTAATTCGCTCGTGATATAACTGGTAATCAATTAAGTCAAGTTACACGCTAATATTTCATCACGTGAATTGCACACAAATGAAAAGAATAAAGCATAAGTTTCGTAATTGTTCGAGCCACATTTCAGACTCTTCAATCAAAGCGAAACTCGTACAAGTCGGTGTTGACTTGATTGGCAAAAGTAAAGCAATTAGCAAGTTTCACTCTTTTCGCGATATTTACAGATCGAGGATATATAAGCAATTCCGGCGCGTTAAATAATCTCGATGTAATTCTAGCTTTGGGTGATTACTTAATGTAGTTGAGTTTCCAATTTTTGCTGCTGCTGCTGCTGCTGCTGTTGCCGTTGATAGTGTATAATCAATGCATATGATGGAATCCAGCTGGCATTTGCGTGCAACTCTCTTCATGTAATTGGTTAATTAGCGCGTGTTTATCGTTATTATTTTGCCGACGCTAATTCATTTATGCGCATAGAAAGTGAAATGATTTGTGGGTATCCGCGCGAAAGGCCGTCGCAATAGTTAGCTAGCAGTCGTCTTCGGCCGCCGCTCAATGGAATCATCGATGTAAGCAATGAAAGAAAGACACGCGTTTCCAATATTATTTCATCAGCAATTATATTATCATTATTACCAAAAGGTCTCCACTCTCTCTATCTCCATCTATTTCTGTCTTTCTCTTCGGCCTTGAATTTGTAATTGCACAAAGGGGAAACGAAAATTGCCTAAGAAAGTTGGCCATATATTGTGTATTTACCGGTATTTGCATAAGTAAATACGCGAGCGAGGTGTTTCGAATTATTATTTTCTTTTTTATTTTTTTGTAGCTGTAAATTTTCTTTTCGTAGTTGTCTTTGGTGATGAGAGTGGGAAGAAGTGGGTTACCACTGGTGTTACGTAAGGTGCCGATTATGAACGGCCACCATCGGTACAGGAAACCACACACACACACACACACACACACAAACACATTAAGTCGCGTTTATGTGCAGTGTGTGTGATATATTGCGGCCATGTGTTTGATGCGAGTATCGCGCGCGAGAGTAAAGACACTTTCTCCGCGCCCGCGGCTCATCCTCGTCTCTTTATTGCGGAGCAAAGAGATCTGATGGCAAAGGCAAAACGAGAAAGAAAGAAAGAAAGAAAGAAAGAAGGTCGAACGGATAATCTCGACATCCATCCACATGTTACGTACGCACTACGTTGGATAATACCTCTTTGGATGGAACGGTTCGGATAGTAGTAGTAGTTAGTTCCTTTTTATTTTCTTTTTCTTTTCCTTTGACCGCGACTCGAACTCTTCCTGTTTTCGATAACGCCGAAGACAATGATATCAATTGGCGGTAGTCTGTTACCCAAGAGGATGGCGTTTCCCTGGGAAACGAACCTACTTTGTTAATAACAACAACAACATCAGCTATATTTGCAGTATTGTGCAATTGTTTCCATTTAGTTTTGGTTCTTCTAATTCTTATTTTCACAATTTTTATTCTTTTCAAGTCTAAATTTATTGATTATTTTATCTTTATTATTCCGTAATTGTTTACACGATTTTATACTCTTTGGTATAGTTTTCAATGAAATGTAAAAACACTGCTTT